CTAGGTTTTTGGTAATGGTTACAAATTTACGTTTTTACCCTAACCAGAACACAGGGTCATCAATTGTTCTTTAGTATTTCCAAAACGAACACCTCTGGCTCCCTCAGCGGAGACTCGCCTGCAACATTGTGAGTTTTTGCAAATTCATCACCAAGACGTCAGAATATTCACTTCGCACATCTCTCTCCACCTAGCCCCTAGAGGGGTTATGTCGACTACGGTGCGTCGGTGAGGCGTATTGTTTTGCGGGTGGATGGAAGAGTGGCAGGAGCAATCCCATTGGGAACATCCTTCGTATCAATCAGACTCTGCCATTGGAAAGGTTGAAATTCATCAAACACACCACAGACACACTTGCCCCTCTGTCGTGTTTGCACCGACTCTCTTACGGCCTTCATAACACCAACAATTCGGTGGGATGAAGTCATGCAAGTGACAGGCATTCTGACAGCGAAGCATGGCTATGAATAGGGTGACAGAAGTATGTACCCAAGTTGAAGAGTTGAAATTCTAGTCAATTCGCCTCAGTAAAAACGCGTGACCACCGTTGTTGAAGTCACCGATCATGAGCAGACCAGCATGCAGATTTAATCCTGCTTGCATTAAAGGGCAATGAGCTGAATGATCTCCATTACCTATTCAGAAACTGTGGTAATGAAAGTGTTGATAAAGGAATTGCAAATTCGCTATCGAAAATACCTTTCTTCTTACTGTAGAAAACCATCAAAGACAATCAACTATCACTGCACAGCAATCATCTACCAATCATTGAAGATTCAATGAATAAAAAAGCAAAAACGCACGCTTTTCTGCTAGGTATAGCATCACTTCGCACATCATTTTTTCTTCAATCTTTAAAGGCGTGAAAGATCAGGGTGAGCTAGACTGAGACTAATATATAGCCCCTCAAACAATATAAGAACTTACGGGCCATTTTGAGGCATCCAAGCTAGGCATAGCAACAGGCTTATTTGCATCCTAAGTTTTGCTTAGCCTAAAGACTAGGATGGACTCCGTTCGAAGTGATCAGGAGTAGATTACAGCAACTATAAGGCACAAAAAGAGCTTTGCATGTTCCTTAGAGTTAAATTGATATAGACCGAATCAACATTGAATAATTGACTTCTTGCCACACTTTTCTGTGCTTCAGCGGCTCAATCACTAGTTTCATCGCTTTTACCTATTCTCCCTTCTTCATTTGACTTAATCTAATAAATCACTGGCTCAAACTCCCAGCGACTCTCCTTCATTCATCTCACATCAGAACAAAGTCTCTTTTTCAAAAAAAATTCTTGGAATTTTCCCCTAGCGATGTACTTGCCCCATTGACTCACCTCCGCCTTCCTTGCAAATCGTCTTCAAAGGCCCCTGCCGCAACTCCCCCGAGCATGCTAAGTTGCATGCTAATTGCCGCATCGTTATTAGCGTCAGATGCGCTGGCAGCAGATTTATTGCTGTTTGCCAGGCAAGAGTAGAGCACCTTGGGGAGTCATTCTCCCGTGTAGTCTCTACTGCTACGGTAGCTTAACGGACATGAAATGTCTGTGTTGAATGTGTCCGACCTTTCGCGAAATCGTCAGGTGCTTTTTCGATGCGATGGTAGCTTCGGGAAGAAAAGGAACATGGGACTGAGAGATTCGATAAAATATGGAATAGATTTGGTACCTGAAAGTGTGCTAATGTCATATACAAAGGCATTAATTATCAAATAGTTAAGAAAACCATTGCTCTTTTGCGTCTGGATGAATGGGTCCAAAAAGATCAGAATGATTTGGATTTGAGATTGCAAAGAGTTTGAAATGAAAATACAGATTTCATAGTTTTCCATTTCTACAAGCCCATTTTGAACGATTTTGCAGGGTCAAATGAGCAAAAAAATTATCACACATATTTTTTAAAGTGAAAGGCAGGTGCTACCATAATGATGTAAAACGACATAAAATGGTGTAAAACGCTGGGTTCTTAGGGGTTCTTGACTTTACTGCTCATGATTCATTAGATCCCAAATTGTTTTTCATATAATTTCGATTCTCTTCCATAGCTTCTTCTACGTAAGCAACTAGTTTTTTCTGTTTCAAAGACGTTATGACAACCACTTCTTAACCTCAGAACCTCCATCAATGAAAGTTGGTA